TACGCATCACTCGTCAGCGGATCGAGACAGATTACGAGCAAGCGCACTCACCACTGGATACCGTGCACACCCGAGGACGACGCCTTGTAGTGACAGTCGCGTAGATTGCGGGAATCGGTGCGTGGCCCGCCCTGGCCACAGATATCCCACCAGCGCCGCCGAGGATGCGATGATGCGCAGGCAGTCGTCGTGTGTGGGAAGTACGCTGCATTGTTCTCCCCCGAGCAGCCCCAGTCGCCGAGTTAGGCGGGGATACGCCGCAGAAGCGGAAGCAGACTTGGTGGGCGGAAGCAGAGAGTGGGGGACGCGTGAATCAGCCGCGCGCCGAGCTCCGAGTCGGCCACGTTCCCCGGCGCCAGATTCGCGCTTGTCCCCTTTTGGCAACTACGTTCGGGGCCGCAGTCGGCCACTCGCCCGTCGCCGTCGCCCGCAGTCTCCTCAGCCTCTCACCGTCTCTCCCTTGCCTCTCTTGGCGCGCAGACAGCGCGGCCTCTCCCGCTCTCAATCAATGTGGCGTCTCGTGCACTTCGCCGTCAAGCGTAGGTTCCAGGCAACGAGTCTGCGTCCGTCATTATTCTGAACCCGACAGACGACAGCACATGGTACACTCGATCCTCCCCCTCCCCCACACGCTACGCCTTCTGCACTACATCCCCACACACCATACCTTCTACATCACATCCCTTGCTCCCACACCTCCATCGTACTCACCTCCACGTCGAACAACCTGCTCCACAGCGCCAACCGCACCCGGCTTCCGTCTTCGTAGAGATTGAGGTCACTCGCGAATTCCAGGCATGGCGGCGTCCAGCATAGCCCGCATTCTATCGCTCGTGCGTAAGATTGCTCCAGTGTCGTCCTCGACGATTTTCTCCGAGAGCCATATGGAACACTTGGAGGGAATGAACGCCTCCGACAGTTGACCCAGGTCTGCCGTCGCCGTCTCCAAGATCTCGTCGAGTTCCGCTAACGCGGTAGAGACCATGCGCACTTGAGCAAATCCTTGGAGCACGGCAGAGAAAGTATCGCAGACTAGAAGCGAGGAAGATGTCGAGACTGGGCACAATCGGTCGAAGTCCTTGCGGGCGGCTAGCGTCTGGATCGTCGCGGTGAGGGACGAGGCTATCGTGGCTGCACGCCGGACTTGGTCGTGGATGTGGATCAGCGAACTGGTCGTAGTATTGGCGAATACTGCAACAAAGGTGCCAACGTCGACGTCCAGCTCGGCTCGGCGCATCGTTCCGAGTCGTGTAAGAAGGAGCCGCTCGCTCATCGCCGAATGGAGCATGAGCATGCTGCGTATGCGTTAGTCCCTGCACAAACGGCTCTCTGCGCCATCACTCACCGAAAAAGGCCAAGGTCCATATGCAGGAAGATCTCGTACGCGGCCTGTCCAACCAGCCGGCAAAGCGTCTGGGACTGCAAGAGCAGCTCGATATCACCAACACCGAGAACCTCGAGGCGACCTTCTTCGTGTAGCATAACGTGGTCATCTAGCGCAATGAGATCGTCGATGACAGGCTCCAGAGAGGCTAGATACCCCGCAGGTGCGATGAGGCTGAGTTCCCGGACGATGTCTTCGTAGAGGACCGCCCGTCGAACAACAAGCTCTACAAGCCGTTCGCAGCGAGGCGCAGCCTCATCGGAAGAGTTCATTGAGGAGGGATCCTTGCGACAAATGCGGGGGTACCATGCGAGATGACCGAAGACGCAGAGGATTAGGTTCGCGGATTGGTGGACGGACGCAGCAGCGTCCTTCATATGAGGATGGGAGGGGTCCAGGCGGGTGGTTAAGTTATACAGGTAGAAGAATCCGTAAGGCGGGGCGACCGCCAGCATCGGTATGAGAACAAAGAGCAGCAGTATCGGGAAGATACCCCGAAACAGCAGGGAGGGCAACATTCACTGTACAACGCGGTCAGACTAAACACACATTCTACATTCACGGACTCACCTATGAACCCACTAGGGTGTCAGGATGATGTGGGAAGGAGGACGAAGGGAAGAGTGAACTGCAAACGTGCCCAGTGGCTCGGCAATAAAAGTATGACTGCACGTGTTGGCGCACTTCACGCGCCACCATCGACCACGCGCATGTGAGTACCGTGACGTCTGCGAGTTCGGCTCAGTGCCTGTGAACAGTTATCGCGAAGACGTATGGGCGCTCGCCTACATGTGAAAAAATGAATAAGACCTTCGAAATTTTGTGCACACCGCGCCTATCGTTGACGAATCCGCCGCGATACTCACCTCCAGCAGAGGGTATTGGAACACCAGGGGGCCTGCGATGAACTGAGCTGCCAGTGTGGGGCGAAAAGCAGGCCTTGACGAGGCGTTCGTCTATCAGCGTTGAAGCTGAACCCGGATTGTCGACAAACGCGCCAGAGACGCGGTGGACCTCTCGCGCGTGACATCGTGGTCTCGCTGAGAGGCGGCTCATCAGCGCGAAATCGGCCAAGGACCGTCTGCCCCCGTTGTCGCGCACGCAGGTATGCGTCGTACGATAACCCTCTCAGCCATCTCCACGACGTCTACACTCGAGGCATCAGACGATGCACTCGGGGAGCTAGGTCGCACGGAGAGGCATTCCGATAGGTCGAGTCGCAGACGTACTCGCCGCCAGCCGCGTACGACGACGGGGTCGCGCTCCGCGCTCCAAGCGCCAGCGTCCAGAGATACATACCTGTCGTGTGCATCATCTTGTCAGCGGGTATCAGACGGCATGCGAGCAAACGTACTCACCGCTTGGCTGCGGTGCACATCGGAGGACGACGCAGTACACGCCTGCGTAGATCGCGTGAATCGTACGGGTCGCCCCTGCTACCGATGGTTCACCAGCGCCGCTGTGGGTGCGATGATACCAGGGAGACAAGAGTTTGTGTATAGGGAGGTACGCTGCATCGTTCCGTTAGAGTTGCCCCAGCCGTCGAATGGTGTGGGGATATATCCCGAAGCTGCTGGACCGCAATAGACGTGGTGGGCGGGA